TTTTTACCAAAAATGATAAAAATATTCACCAAAATTAGAGAATTAAAGATATCATTACAAAATGAACAAATCTGAGAGAGGTCCACATGTAGTACCTATATATGTAATATCAAAGCAATTGCACTTGCGGTTTTTAACAAGAAGTCGAAAATATCACTTTTTACCAAAAATTACAAAAATATTCACCAAAATTAGAGAATTGAAGATATCAACATGAAATGAACAAACCTAAGAGAGGTCTACCCAAGGTACATATACACCAAGTATCAAAGCATTCAGGCTTGTAGTTTTCAAGAAGAAGTCGAAAAAGTAAAACATTGACACGGACGACGACGACGGACAATCACTCATATGATAAGCTCCGCTCGACAAAGTCGACAGCGGAGCTAAAAACATCAAGTACCGTAAAATCTGTATTAAAAGCCACATCCCTAATAGAAATCGCACACATTCTTTTTGAACAATTGAGAACCAAAAAATCAACATTTCTCATATGTGTATGGTGCTCTAATAGAAACCACATCCCCTCTATTGCATTGTATCATTTTAATAGAAACCGTGGCTTTTAATACAGATTTTACAGTATATATCTTTATGCAAATTGAAAATCACTGAAATAAAATGAATTACATTAAATGTCATGAATAAAAAAACAATCAGTAAAACTAAACTACTGACACAAAGAGAAGGAATGTACCTTTAATCTATTGGTCATTTCCTCACAACAGACTCCCATGGATTCCACATCATGATATATGCTGTCTAATTGCTGTAAAAAAAATGCATTAAAATTATGTATTTGAAGGACAAATTGTATTTATGCCATCTTGCAAAGTCTTGAAGATTTTGACCCAAAAAACATCTGAGAAATATCCCATCTGCGGGCAGTGAATGTGTGGAAATTTATTATAGGAAATAGTTTAGTTAGTGTATTCTCCTTTATCATGGAATACCCTAGTATTCATATTTCAAATGTCTCTTTGTCTTTTTCTTACAGCGAAAATACATTATCTGATATTTAATGCCAATAAAAGCAACGAACACAATTATTGCATTTCTCGTTGCTAGGTTCATGATTCCCCTAATCAATAATAAAGTGTTCCAAAAACCAACATTCAAATTGACCATTTTCCGTACACTGCGAGAATCACGCGTAATGCGTGAAATCGAACGTAAAAACAGGACAAACAAAGGTCATAGCGTCGTAGTGGCGTCAAACATCGCGTGGGATTCGACAAACGCAAAAGTATTTTGGGGACATTTCCATGCTTAATAATGTGCTGTCCACATTTGATGATAGGCAATTTCGATTAAGTGAGGGTATTCGGAAGCAATATTCCTCAGTCGAAGATCGGCCGGTCAATGTAAGCTGCAAAATAAAGAAATTCTAGTTCAAAATCAAATCGTTCGATTTTTGCGGCAGACGTTCGACGCGCGTCTTTCATGCATCTCACGAGATCTCGCAGTGTACGGAAAATGGTCTATTGCACAAGCATGCATCTGCACATTTAACATTCTAAGTATGTCCTAGGTATGCTACTAACTATGGAATGTTTGCCACCAAATTATATATGTAACTAAATGAGTATAACCATTATATAAGTCTATGTTGTACAATAGTAAACAAAACTGAAATGAGTCAAAACATGTGATGTGATCAATCAGGGAATATCGGGATACAGCTCTGAAACAGCATTCAATAAATAAAAATTACCACAAGTTGGCTGGTTTGAATCAAATATATAAAAAACAAAATAAAAATCTGTCAATGTGATCTAAAATGGCAGAAATGCTTAATTATGATTTGGACATTAAAATGGCTGCCATCTTCAATTGGGTTGTGAAACAAATGCGTGTTCATATTTATGATATGGTGTGTGTATGAAGTGTGTGAATATAATCGGTTCAGTACATCCATGTTGAGGGTATGTACAGCTGCATGCACACATGCACACACAGCTAAAATTAAAGTCCCTGTTTTTGTTTTTGCATTGGGACTAATAAAGAAAATACTACACTTCCGACAGTCTTTGTATTTAAGTGAATCACAAGGTTAAATACCAAGATCACTTTCAATACAAAATTGTTCTCCACAAATCAAAATTAAAGAGAGGTTAAAAAATTTAAAAATTGAGAGTGGGCCTGCTAACTGCTCAAGTACTCACCTCTTTGACTTGCTGGGTTGCCTGCGCAAACTGTTCATTAATTGCTAGACTTCTTCTTTCAATATCTCCTCGTAAATTACGACGTGTTCGTAGATTATTCTCATAGAAAAACGTAGACAGTGCTTTTAAAGCTTCAAGAACATCCTGTAGAAAGACATTAATAACAACCATATTTTAACAAAATTTCTCAC